AATCGGACGCGCGATTACGCGATGTGACGAGACGCGAATACGACGCGACGTGCAATGGCTTCTTTGACGTTGACACTAGCTCGTGTTTGGTTGGTTGATTGCATGACTAGCTGGCAGCGCAGGAAGCGGTAGCAGCAGCGGTAGCAGCAACAACAGCCAGAACAGCCAAGTCGGCGCGTCACCATCGTCGCCGGCCAGTATCAGCCATCAGGCGAATGGTAGCAACGAGCCGATAGCATCGCGACGCCAGGATTCCTCCTCACCCACCGGTCTGTAGCACGATAATCTGGCACGTTTCCTTCTATCTTGATACTCTTCCCTTCTTCCTAGAGGGTGGAAACGATCTCTTAACTCGTTCTCGAGCGTCGCTGCATGCTATAGAAATTCAATCAGTTATTTTTTTATCATTATTACGTGTGTATATATATATATATATATATATATATATCTGTGATGTTGTCTATCAAATTGTTAAAGCATCGATTTTCCGTTTATTTTTAATCCGCCGTTCGGATTCCTTTGTCAATTCTTAATTCAAGTTTGTAAGATTGATTAATGATCGACGATTAATGATTAGTTGCTTCTTTTTATTGAATTCCTCGATTGATGAAGATTTAGATTTGAATTCTTATACGGCTGTTATACAGATATTCGTCATAGCAGAGGTTTGCATAGTTGCTGTAAAAATGGCGATAAGCCATTACATTTAACGCTGAGCGAAATCGGAGAATATGATCGCGTAGGATATTTACGAGACGGTTAGACAGAAGTATTACCCGAAAACCACGCATTCATTTGCACCATCTATAAATAATCGGCATTAATGTTTGTTATGATTTATGGAAAACGATTCAGTTATGTTTTCTCTACGCTTACGAATAAAGCGAAATGTATGTGCAAAAATAATGGGATTAATTACAGCTCGGTCCGTTTTGGTCGACGAGCCCAATTTATGATCAATGCAATAAACAACGTTATAGTAAATAAACGTGAACACAAATATATTTGATAGGACCGATATAAACGAAAAGCCGTTAATTAATAAGTGAAATGCGCTCAGAAGTCATTTTTATCGTCGTGCTCCAATATCTTTTGTTTTTTTTCTAGTTTGCTTGCAGCACACAGGTAATAATTACTTGTTTCAAGTATTTAAAAAAATTTATTTATCCGCAAACCTATCATAAGTTTGAAAAAAAAACATCAAATTTATTTAAAATATATTCTGTGGTATGTTTAATACTTCAATCAAGATTATTAAATTAAAACAAATTCAATTTGTTTATTATATAAAGTCGCTTCTTCGATCAATTTTATAATATTCCTCAAAAGAAAATAAATTCTTGTTTTTAGTAGATACATAATAATGAGTTTTCCTAAAATTTATGATGAGTACATTTTAAGATCACTATCATGAAAATCTTCTTTGTTAAAGATAATTAAACTTAAAAGGATGAAAATAAATTGAAATACCACTTTTCTTAGCAATAGAATGGATATTTTTTTGTGTGCAGAATTATTTTAAGCTTATTGTTAATAAAATCTCGCTACGTGTTGGAAGATATTGTTAAAGAATAGTAAACGAAAATTGTAACCGCACGTGTTTCCATTTTCGCAATGGGTCGCTTGTTGGATATAAATAAATGTTAAACAGAAGGATATCGACGACATGTATTCAATTCATGTGTAATGTATTTTTTTGCGAAGCTCGCGTTTTATTAATAAAAAAAAGGAAAAAAAATATAAAAATGTAATTCGAACGTACCGAGAAAATTTCCGAGCACCGTCAACGCACATAAATTTATGTTCTCCACCCTCTATCCTTTTTACTCGCAATCGAGACTTATCCTGATTATCATTGAGCCGATACCTCGCAAGCTCGATTTAATCTGACGGACAAGCTTCTGTGATATTATCGGACGAGGGACATCACCTTGACCGCCATTATGTCAATTAACTGTCTCCTGCGTGATCCAGACAATTGACATTAATGCAATTACCAATGTTGATACTTAAATAGCGTGCCCGATGAGATTAATGCACAAAAGTGCGCAATTGGTATTTTTGAATACCGCATTATGAATTTAGGAAATTAAATTAGAGATTGCTCTAAATCCCAGAGGAGAGGTTGAAATATAAACGGATATTCTCATCGGATACAACATAATCCAAAACAATAAAATTCAAAAGAACGATTGTGATCTGCGAGGATTTAGTATCACATTTGATTTATCCAAAATTCTCTTTGTTTAAATATATCTCTATTTAAATATCGTTTTTTCAGTTATAAACTCCACGTATATACTTTGTACTCTTGACGTCTCCAATTAATCAAAATGCGATTATCGACAAAGCTTCGAGTTATCGGCACTCCTTTTTCGCGCGGACGGCATTGAGTTACCAATTTGTTTTTGTTTGTTTGTATCTCTGTGTGTTTCTGCATGCTGCACGTGTTTCGCGTACCGCCTTACGATCGCGCACCTTTTTGTGTGCGCCTGCATGCACCTACTCCGCAAAAAAAAAAAAAAAAAAAAAACCGTGCAGAACGGGAAGCACGACGGATGAGCGTTGCCGACGGACACGCATCCCGGACAGGCTGCGTCCTCGACGAGGATCCCGAAGACGGTAAGAAAACCGTTGACGCCCGTAAGCTCGGAATAAATGCGAGGGAGAGGAACACGCAGCAATCACCATGTTGGAGCCCCACGTCTTGCAGTTTACTTTAAAATTCGTGTAAACCGCCTTGTGCTTCCTTTAAATATTTTCACAACGGACAACACTAAAAAGAACAAAAGGAAGAGTATTTAAATCGTATCATAAACAAAAAGATTTTGAGATTAGAAGAATTTAGTAAAATGTCGTGTTCAAATAAATAGAAAAAAATGTAGCAATAATGTTATTTTTTAATTAATACGCTATGTTGTTTTTATGAAACCTTTTACGTATGATCAGATAACTAATTTTTTAAGAGAAATAAAAATAAAATTTTATAAAATATCTTACCATCGTATTTATTAGCTGCATTCAGTAGGCTGCAAATGCTCTCTGAGCGCTCAGTGAGCTTTTGCACCTGTTTGATTTAATATTTTTAGATTTAACATTAAATATTTCAATTAGATGTAAGAGCTTACTGAATGCCCTCATTGATTAATTGTAAGTCAAAAGGCAATTTTTTCTACGTGGAGAGAATTCAATTTTTTTCTTTAATTTTTCAATTTCGTTGCATATAAGATTTTATAATAACGAAGGTAATACGTAGGAATGTATCAATTAAGAAAAACGAACATCTGACCTCTAAGAGTTTCAATGGAAATTCTGATGAGAAAATTAAGGGACAAAATTAATTCTTACAATTTCTACAATTTTTACAATTCTCATCTAATTGTATAAATTCAATCTGATTATCTGATCACGATGAATATCTATATTTCAGATTATCATTCATAATCATATTAATTACTAGATTGAATTTCCTTGATTATATTTTATCTTTATCCATCATATATTCAACGTAACATTGTCTCTGTCGCAAGCAAATAGTAAGTAACTCAGACTGACTAAATCGTCTGCACATATATATATTTTATCTACCTGATTTGATTGCTATCGATTAGCTTCTCGTACTTATCTTAGAACAAATTTACATTACGCGGATTATTTGTAATATTATCGGTCGAAATAAAATTTTAGAATTGTAAGATCGGTTTATATCACAATTTTTGGGGTTTTGATATTCACGAAAAATTATTTCGGTCGAATCTCTTGGTTTATTAAATCAATATATCTTTTACGATATTTTTCATGTAAAAAAAATCCTTTTCTAAATATATTGCTTCGATAATTGGAAAGTATGAGATTCACAGGTTCACATTTGCTTTTTAATAATGGATTGAATCTGAAGATGACTTCTAACAGGAAATAGGCGCACTATATATACTAATACGTAATATACATATATATAAAACAAGTTGGAAACTAATTAACCCGATGCTCCAATGTTCGTTGGAGTTGAATCGCAGTAAATACTGGCTCTAATCCACGATCCGCAAGTAACGTGATTAAGATTCTCTGAGCGCATACGATTGAAGCCTCTTACCAATTCATCTCGACTTTGTAATTGTCTTTTATACAATTTGCGTTCGCATGCACGCATACTATTTAATCTGGATTCAATCGGAACATAGGAAATCATGCCGAATCATAGAAGGGACAGGAGGATCCAATCGAATCCAAATGCCACATTGCATCTAAAATGAAAAACAAATATAGAAAGCATGTTTGCGTTTATTAATTATATGCACCACACATATAAAACACACACATATAAAAATAGTGCTGCCACATCGACCAGCGATAATATTTACACAAAATCTAACATAATATAGCAAACTCGATTGGACGACGGAAACGCAAACCAAGAGGAAGATAAGAAAATGGATAATGATGAGAACTCTCGGGGGAGACGGTTAATCCTTTTAGACGATACCGCACGTGAGGATTAAGCTAATAGCTTTTACATTTCGATAGAATTAAAAATTGAGAGATGTTATTATGCTAGACTTCCGTGAACATTTCGTGCTTACATGCTATTATGCATGCTAATTATCATTTTCATTATTATAATCTTCAATAAACGGACTGGAATACATTTCTCTTGTATATGAAATGAGTTACCATATTACATACGTGTACATATTATATTACATTGATAAATTACGTTAATAAGTTTGGTTATACATGTATATATGTATATATAGAGAATTAACGAGATTCTCTGTGCGTTACTCGCAGAAAACGGATACTTACAAATATGAAGCAGTTTAATATGAACGAAGCTTAATCCTCTTCGTGTTTGTACAGCAGCTTGAGTATTGTCTTGAAAATATCCGTCTTGCCCATTTTTTTAATACGAAAGGGATATATATATTGCTTGTAGACATAAGAATCGTGTGTCCTATCAAGACCTGCAGCCAGCTTTCAACCAACTCCCAATGCTCAGGTAAAGTGCGAAATTACGTCGTATGTAAGCGACGAATCGACCAAGAAAAATCAAGTCGGAACGAATCGAGGAAGTACTCGTACTCTCTTCGACTTGTTAGTTTTATTGTTTAGGAGTTTATGAGAGAAAGCATGTTGCCAAAAGAAAAGGAGTTAAAACTGAATTGGATTACTTTTTAATTAAGACTAATTTTAATTAGTTTAAGAGTTTTAATATATTATATATCTTTTTAATATAACTAATTACAGGAATTACTTATACTGAATGAATTCTTATAAAGTACTTTAGTTCTTCTTTAACGCAATGTGTTTTCTCTCTCCAAAAGCCTTACTGACCGATATCACACGGTTTACAATATTAATACGAAATATGGCCGCATGTCGTAATTCGTATAATATAATATACATAAATTATATTTTCTATGATCCATACGAAAGATTATCAAGTAATAATGATTTATTAAATAATAACGCAATACAATCGCAATGTTTCCTCTTGCGAGGAACATTATTACTCGGAATTTTATTACGAAGAAAACTTGTTCTTAAAATCCCGATCGAGTTTTTAGATCTCGTATATTGTGTCGAGAATAATATTGAAAAAAATTCCGATTTATTTAAAACATTTCTGTCGAGCGAATTCTAGGATACCACAACTATGCTTTATGATGCAAAGTGCCTACTGAGTAAAGTTTGCGCTACTCTTATGTAATCTACGTAATTGCTGCCATGTAATAGTAAAATATATAGAGCTACGGAAGAGGAGTGTGTTACTACTTGCTTAATACGACGATAAATGTCTAAAGATAGATCGATCAGAGACCGGGGAATGGTGGACTTCGTAATAGAATACCGAGGTGCGGTAAAGTTTAATTAATTAGTTAGGACAATAGCAGACATAGTAACGTAGTAAGATTGGCGGTTGTGTGATGGTGGTAGTGGTATTCTACAAATCGTAGAACGATAATTCATTGCCAAAGTAAAATTTTCTTCAATCTGTTTTTTCATTATTATTTTTCACCATGATATCTCTCGTATCGTTACTTTGAAACGCGCAATCGCGTTTATTTCGCGTGATTTAATAATAATAAGACGTATCTAAGAATTACGATGATTCATTCCGATGTGAGGTCTTGAATTTATCTCTCGAGAAAAACTGAAGATCAATGCAAAATTGATTGATTTCTAATAAATATATATTATACAACATACAATTTCCGATGATTAAAAACGCGAAATAATAGCGTATACTGTATCTCTTGCGATCTCCGAACACTTTTCAAGTCTCTTCATGAAACTATGCTTCAATTGTTGAGGCATTTAAGGAATGATCGCAATTTTCATATACATTGCCGATCTACGTAAGTAATATCGACGAACGCATCGTTAGATTAAACGGTATATACAATCAAATATTAATTTATTGTGATTCGAAAGCTATATGAACTTTAATTTGGATATCCATGCATAATATAAGATAATTTTTACAAGAAATAATTTACAATAAATACAAAGGAAGTGCTCAGTGATCTATTTTTTTCGTAATCATTAATCCAACGAATGGCCGTTCGTTCCTAACGGAGATCGAAACAATTTAGACGCACCGTCGAATTGATGCGTGCACGCGTTACGCATGAAACATACCGAGACGAGGAGAGCACGAATACGATCGAAAAGTCAGGAGGTTCGCAGGTGAAGTGTGCATCGATGAACATGTGGATGGATGTACTTGTTGAGTGAATGAAGCGACAGCCTGAATGAGCCTGAGGGGAAAGGCCGTTGAAGAGAATGACAGAAACGCGAGACACGCGCTGCGTTGCTCAATCGCCAATTTGGCAATTCGAGTTACTCTCTCGGATCTCACCATTCAATCGACACGAAACGATCACTGAATTAGACGCGATCGTGCATTGTGCGCTTGTGATTTCGTAATCACGAATCATTGAGAGCGCGAAAGAGCTCTGATGTTAGCCAAGTGAAAAAGGGTCACTTGTATCAGCCGAGTATCTTGTATTTTTATTTTAATACATGCATTATGTTAAACGCGCGCATTGACAAGTAAATAATATTATTTCTTATTATCTGTATATTTTCTTCACTTTAATATCAATTTACTGTAATCGATTAATTAATTATAGATTTTCCCGCAAGTTATTTTCGCTATATTTATGAAATTATTAGTATTTAATTGTATAACAGTTTTAACTGTTAGAAATTTTTACATTTTTTTTTATATCAAAATTAAGTATAAAACTGTGAGCGCTCATTTTTTCAAATTTTACTGCTTTAATTAGTCGTTTCGATTAGGCTATATGTATTGTTCTTTGACAAGAATCCGAATCTACGAATTACACAGAAATTAATTGCGCGAGTATGGCTTGTTCTTATGCACAACCAGGGGCCGCAATGGTGTAGGGCTTTAGAAAAGTTGACGAAAAAATTAAGTGCATGCGACTGTGTTTGTGCCGTATAATATGTCGGTAAGCCCAATGGGCGTGCTGAACGCCTCGGCACGGACCGATTGATTCATTGATCTATTGACGGTTCCAGCACGCCGACAGGAAATCATCAAGATGACTGAGCAATTGATCGAGAGCATCAACACCGGAGATTTTGAGGCATACACGTAAGTAACGATACAATCGTTTGTTAAAGAAGGATTCGAAGGATCATCCTGTACGTTTGTAACGAAAATTGCTCAAATACTGATAAGTTTACGATGCTTAATAGATTTTTTCTAACGTCAACGAGAAAAAATTTCAGATTATTTAAAGGATATTCTGATTTTTAAAATATTGAAAATAGAAAAATTCGAGATATCATGTATAAAGTTTTGGTTAAAGAATACATTATTCGATGAAGCTTTTTACATGGATATCAATATTTTTGTTTTACATTTTATATTTGTTAAATCACTATTACTACAATATATATTTACATTTCATCATATGTATCATTTAAAATTGAATTTGGAGGATTGGCGATTAATCTGGTAGAAATAGCCGATGCTCCCGATAATACTGTATACATATAGGCTGATACAAAAAAAACATAAACCTGATAAACTTGATATGCCTGATATATCTGATATATCTTATACTGAATAAAAAAGCCTCGGCTACTGTTTTCAAATATTACTTTAGATTTTTTTTTAATGGAACAAGAAAATCTTTCTGCTGAAGGAAAAATGATTCCAAATTAATTGAAAGATATGTATACACATGTATGCATATGTATCTCTCGATTAATTTGGAATCGTTTTTCCTTCAACAGAGAAATTTTTCATTTCGTTTCGAACAATGTACTATTAAAAACCGATATGATAGAAATAAAAGTATCATTATAAAATTATTACAATGAAAGAGATACATTAATTTCTTTTGTGCTTCCAGGAAAATCTGTGATCCACATCTGACCGCATTCGAGCCGGAGGCTCTAGGTAATTTAGTCGAGGGAATGGATTTTCACAAATTTTACTTTGATAATGGTAATTATGACTCATTGGCATCATCATTGTAAAATTTTATTTTTTTTTATAGACAGTAATTTTTTATATAGACACAATTTAGATACAATATAGTAGATACAATATATTCGATAAAATAAAATATAAACATAACATTGTAGCATCAATAAATTTTAAATTAGTAAAAAAAAGGTTACGCACTTTTTGTAATTTTATCATTCTGTTTTATAACTTTAATATCTAAAAAGTGGATTTTAGAAGAGATTCTATTCTTCTAGAATATTTAATGTGTATTTATATTAAAACATCATATAATAAAAAGTGTACATACTAAAACGTTGCAGTATTAATAACGAGAAAATAGTTATTTCTGTAAAATGAGTTTCCTGGATATTTATAAATATTCTCTTATATTTTTCGACTTTGGAAATTCAGATTTTATGAAAATGAATTAAATTTCTATCGTAATGAATAAATCAAAAGACTTTGCATGAGCAATTTAAAAATTTTTCCATGCAGCGCAAAGCTTGTTTGGTTTTGCGTAACGTAGAATTTTCTTCGAAATATACAATTTTTATTTGTCTGGCTCTCTATTTTTCTTCGTATTCCGTGGTACCCATCAGAGACAGTAATAGTTGATCTCTTTCCGCTTGTTTTCTTTTCTTTCATCCCTCTCTCATTTGTTTGTTTCTCTGCAATATTTTCACTTGTATACAGCACTTGTTTTATGTCGCATGTTAATATAAATCACGGTATTCGAGTAACTTTTCACTTTATTTCCTGTCAATATCCTAAGCAGTCTTGGGGAAAAACTGTAAGGCGGTCAATACGACAATCCTGAACCCCCATGTTCATTTGCTGGGCGAGGATGCTGCTTGCATCGCGTATGTCAGGCTGACACAATACATGGACAAGTGAGTACATATAAACGAGTACGAAAAGATAGTTGAGCGTGATCTGCACCGATGTGGTCGAAGATTTAAAAAAGTCATAATTTATTCAAATTCTTTGCGTTACATATTAATTTCTTACAAATAATAGTTTTTAATTCGTTATAAATAATAGCTTTCAAGTTTTTATTTGATATTCGAGGAGACAAAATTATTCTTCACCATCCGTTTCAACAATTGTAAGATTCCATTGTTGCACAAGTGTTATTTTATAATTCTCTCTGTACTGGAGATAGCTAGTATTGCAATTTTCGAAGACGATATGTCCGTGTCTCGTAAAATAATTTAGCTCAAGTTTCGTACTATCGTATACATTTTCCTTTCGTTTTGATCCTCAGACAAGGCGTAGCGCATACCCAGCAAAGTGAGGAAAGCCGCGTGTGGCACAAGAGGGACAACAAATGGCAGAACGTGCATTTTCATCGAAGCGCGGTGACGGGTCCATCCCCGTTCTCTTTCAACCACAAATAAATCGGCCAAGAGGACTGTCCTGCTGCCGCTCTCGGCGAATGCTCGTTATCCCCCGATAGAGCGCGAATGAAGTAACGAAATGTTAGGAATGTGGAACACAACGTACGCGGGCATCCTCACACACACACACACACACACACACACACACACATAAAACACGTACATAAGAACGAAGTTACATAAGAACGAAGAGAACACACAACGACGTAATGCGGTATTCGAGAGGCAGAGAACATAGTAACGCTACAACAGTAACACACGAATACAAATACATTAACATATAGTACCAAACGCGACAAAACCGAAGATGTGACGCATCCGCCGGCATGTATTACTTGCTCCAGTACCTGCTCAGCGTACTTACTACCTATATTTACGCGTGCACACCCACCGCACCAAGTGTGCCTCGGAGCCTCGACGAGGGAAATATGCGCGAATCATTGGAAGCGCGAGAAAAGAGCAGAGAGAGTCGGTCAATCGATTGTATTTGTAACGAGCACCGAGGACACGAGGTAGACACTGTCCATTGTCGGTTGATGAACGCGATCACGGCGGAGAGAAAGAGAGAGGAGAGAGAGAGAGAGAGAGAACAAGGGAAATTTCTGGGCTGCAACGTTCATGCACATGCACTCCGATCATTCGTTTCGCTGGCATCTTAACATCGTCCGTTTTGGTTTCGTATCTTGCGCGACGACGCGTCTTCTTCTTCGGTTCTTGAAAGCAAGACTAACGTCGATTTCTCAAGACGGCAAGCGGATCCTCCAAATAGAATTGTGATATCGAGACAAGTCATCGCGTGTGTGACAAAGAGATAATGAAACCGCTATCGCAATCAAACTCGCGTCGATGTTTCATGTATCGTCAAGCATCATCAGCAAAGTTGGAAAATTTGAATTGCGAGGAAATGTAATAAACAGAGTCGGATAAAATGAATAGCACAATGGCAGATGAAACGAGTCGTCGGAGACGGCGAAGAGAGACGGAAAGCAGGAAGAGGAAGTGGCGATAGAGTCGACTCGGATCGATGCTGGGCATCGACGGAGACAGCGACGGTCGTGATGGAACGAGAAGAGGAGTAAGAGCGGGAGAAAGAACAAGTATCCAAGTATCGACATAAGAGAGATAGAGAGACAGGAGAGAGAGAGGGGGAGAGAGGGAGGGGGAGAGAGAGAGAAAACGGTGCGACGTGGTGAGGCAGAGCAATGGAATGGAATCGCGATCGAAAATTGCGACTGGATGCCACGCCGTGTTTGCGTTGATGAACGTCCAGCATATTTCTTCATGTAATTCCTTTCTTCGGCTTTCGCTCTCGTCTCATCTTGGCGAGATACGGAGCTGCATCTAGACACGTGCGACGAGAGAGAAAATGTGGCGAGATGCGATCGAAAATCTGCAAAAGATCGTTTCTATTTATTTCATTAACGATAAGACTTATTAACTAATTTTTAAATTTCTTCTTGATAAATAGATTCGCATGGCGCATATGTTCGACACGTTCTATCGACTCAGTCTCTTAACACCGGATGTATCTTTCGAATGCACAAATACCATTTAATGAATCAATGATAATATCGCGACGTAGAACTTGAACGAAAAAAGAAGATATAGGAAAAACATGATATAGGAAAAATATATCCGTCACGTGAGATAAATCTGATATCTCTTTTAGAGAATTGCATTTTTACCTAGTAATGTTCAAGAAAGTATTTCGAGCTTCATATTTAACGTAGCGTAAGTTTGACATATATAAGCTTCAATTATTTCTATTGCGAGATTAACAGCGATTCGAAATGTACACGATTATGCTGTCATGAGGAAGTATATACCACGCGATATCAAATCCTTCGTAATGTTCCTTCTGAATAGCGAATATCACTGAGACGATAATAAATTTATTAATCGACGAACTCGCCGATGTTTGATAGATTGCATCTCGCTGCGGAAAAATATACCTTCTTTCCCTTTCCTCCCTTCACACGCATTTAAAGAAAACACATAATGCGCGTGACCGTCCTAGATAGAGAGAAAGAAATAATCTTTAACTGTCTCATTTTATGATTGTCAGGCACTTTGATGACTGGCGTATTTGTATATCCGGTTATTTTGAACGGTGGATGTTGTGATATATTCACATATACAGTAAACGGATAAATCATACAAAATATTTCCTATTATCTTTACTCTTTTAGCTCAGTCTTCTAATTTCATTTGTCAAATAAATCTTGTATTTCTATGTACACATAAAAATGATTAACGAAAAAATATTAGAAAAGAAAAATCATCTTCCACACAAATAAAAGAATTAAGGATAAAGCGGGCAGCACAGACTTGCATAAAGCACGTAACACATAAGACATAAGAAATTCAATCAATCAGAATTCTTTATTTCATGGAAAGGAAGAAAACGAAAAATTTTTATTGGCTCATTTTTTTAAGTATTATGTGTTATGCGTTGTGTAAGAATCTGTGCTACCCGTCTAAAAGAGGAAAGAAAAAAGAAAAATGGAAAAGCAAACAAAATGTTATGAAAAAATGCCGAAAAAAATACAATTTACTTCTGTCACATATCTCTGTTTCTCTCCTTCCCCCTCTCATCCTCTCCGTCTCTCCCGCCCCTCTCTCTCTCTCTCTCTCTCTCTCTTTCTCTGCATTATTAATGTTATATATAGGCATATATTTATTGAATTACTTGGAGAATCTAAAAGATATATATAAACACCACAGTAACAAGTTGCAATATGCGACGAATGGATTTCACTAATCGTGAGAAATTAGGGAATGAGTGGATTCCTATCCAAAATAATTACGAATCCAAACATTTTTTGTCGAATGTACTTCATTAATATGACGAATCTTTCTACACATTCGTATATTCTCTATTACTATTATAACTTATAAATGCGTATAAATAATAATACAATTTTATGAATGGGGAATCGTAGTAGAAATCTCTCCATTTACAAGAAATCAGGAGGAACATTTTTGCCATTTTGTTATATGTGTGAATGTGTGTGTATATGTGTGTATGTGTGTATGTAACATTATATATATATATATACATATATATATGTATGTGTATATATATATATATATATATAAAGGAAATATACACATACATATACAGTGACTCGCATTAATATTCGGACATCATAATAATAAAGAAATTATTTTTTTTTTTAAATATAGTTTTTATAGGATTAAGAAATTTACGGTTTTTTAAGCATTGGAAACGCTCATTATAGATGTAAAAAACATTAATTTTCTTTAACTAATATAGTTTTCAATATAAAAAATATTAAATAAGTTAATCCTTAATTTTATAATTGCAAAAATATTCGGACACTCAATATATTTTATATTTACTGATCCTCGAAAATCAAGTTAGTTTATTCCTGACTTGTTTACCGTGAAGTAAGTCCTACAAAATATGTGACTTATTAATTTCCCCAAGATCACACAAGTTAACAGTGAAAATGGGACGTAAAGGCAAAAATAATTCATTTGATAAACGCCAACTTGTTATTTTTCATAAAAAAGGCAAATCATATCGAGAAATCGTAAATTAATAAATTTGAGTAAGAATACGGTAGCGGATATTATAAAAAGATATGTTCGTGAAGATCGCATTGAATCAATACCTCAGAAAGTACATCGGAAAATTACTTGCCTCACTAAATTAATTAGGGATAAATTAATTAGGAAAATAAAAGTAAATCTTGGATTAAGTGCTACAAAATTGACCTCAGAATTATACGAAGAGACTAGCAAGAAGATACATCCTAATACAGTTCGTCGAGCATTAAAAGAAAGTGATTACAACGGTAGAGTTGCTCGTAAAAAGCCGTTCATAAATGAAGCGAATCGGAAAAAAAGATTAATTTTCGCCAAGGAATTTATTTCTAAAGAACAAATATGGTGGGATGTAATATTCGTTGATGAGAGCAAATTTAACATTTTTTGATCTGACGGACGGAAAATGGCGAAAAGCAAACGAAGAATTCAAACTGAAAAATTTGAAGCCAACTATGACACACGGCGGTAGAAGTTTAATGGTTTGAGGTAGTATTTCAGGTAAAGGAGTGGATGAATTAGTTTTTATTGACGGAATTTGGATAAAAATAAATATTTAAATATTCTAAAAGACAATTTAATAAAAAGTGCTAATAGTATGAATATACGAGGTAGCTTCAAATTTTATCAAGACAATGATTACCAAAACAGAAATCGCGAATAGTGCAAGAATATTTATTATACAATTGTCCAAAAGTATTACATCCTCCACCACAGTCATCAGATTTAAATCCCATAGAAAATTTATGGAATTTATTAGATCATAACATTCGGATTACGTCTACAAGATCAAAAGAAGAATTAAAATTACAATAAAATATTTATAGCACGTTACTAAACAAAAAGGTTATCCAACAAAATATTAAAATTATTATCATTTCATTCATATATTATCATATCGTTTATATTATTATATCTTGTTAAGTGTCCGAATATTTTTGCGATACCAGAATTAAGCAAAATTCTGTCTATAGTTTAATATATTCGAAACTGTATCATATAAATGTAATTATAGAAATAAAATTTATATTTCTAATAACTATAATGAATTTTTCAATTTAAAACAAAAGCCGTAAATTTCTTACTCCAACAAAAATCATGTTTAGAAGGTAATAATTTCTAAAGTATCATGATGTCCGAATATTAATGCGAGTCACTGTATATTATGTATATGAGTATAAGCGCGTGCACAAAAGTTGCAAATTCGTAGAATCATTAATTAACTAATACATTATTATCTAATCATTACTAACGATCATTCGTTATTAGATATTAGAGTGAATGTTTCAGCGCCGTGTTTGCCAAGTTTTTCTTTTTATTTTTCTCGGCGTTTCTCGAAGATTTCACGTAAAATATGTCTCTCCCTCGTTCCTATATATTATATTTTCTCGTTCTGATATATTGTTTAGAGAAGAACGAACTTATTAAGCGATCGCATGTCGTCCGGCGTGCATTGTAAACACGATAAATGCGCTTTTCCAAACGATGGAACTGCACTACATTCGTGTGGTCGCACGTGCGCGCTCCACATCTACGCATACATATATATTGAGACAAGGATACAAATAGGATTATATGTATATGTATACGTGTGTACGTGTATATGTATGTATACAATATATATATGTGCATACATACGTATATGTATATAGCAGATATACATTATATATAAATATATATAGAGATATAAATATAAATATAAAATTGCGAGATTAAGAAATAGTTATTTCTACTACTCTAATTTGTCGCTTCTACGTGTGGTTGTTGTATAAAAAAAAAAGATTCATTGATTTATTATTATTGTTATTACACGATTATCATTAATGTTAACGATTACCACTATTACTGCTATAACTACTACTGCTGCAACTACTATTACTACTGTTACCATTACTATTATTACTACTATACTATTACTACTATTGCTATATTATTATTCTTACTGTATTATTGCTATCGCCGTCGTTGTCGCCGGGAGTAAAAAGAAAAGAGGAGAGTATCTATTCTTTACTCTTGTCTATCGATCGATAAATTGAAAATTTTGTCTATAGGCTGCGACGATCGGCATAATCTCCTTTTTTTTTTTTAAACGTGACAAACGCCACAATTGACACACATTCACGTTCAAATAAATTCAAAATGTTATTTATATATAGGTATATATACATATATTATGTGCATATGTATGTATATACAATTATATATATGTATATATATATACACATATATATATGTATATGTATAGCATAGACCGTGTTACATTTTGTTTGTGTATGTGTTTGTGTGCGTGCGTGCGCGTGTGTTTGTGCTTGGGTGTGCGACGTGCGTGTGCGTATGTATGTGCCTGTGCGTATGTATGGGCCTGGGTGTGCATGCACGCGCGTGTGTGTACATATACGTGTAACGCGGTCTTTATTATTATAAACGTTTATAAATACGAGTTTTACGAACGTTAATGAAATCGAGTGACTAAAGTATCGATATATATTCTCATTTTTTAGATATCTTTTCACATCGATTGAAAGTCCGGAGAAGCACACGTCCGCGCGCGCATGCGACGCACTGTTATTATGATTATAATTACAAATTATAATTACAAATTATTGCAGCGTTATTCGCGTATTTCACAGTTGATTCATATCGAAGAGTTTTTTCAAACGCGCGGAGAAGGACGTCTCTCGCGATGCTCGCTGAAAGTTGTTTGCAACTTATTAAATCTCATAAGAATTCAAATTGAAACCATACACAATAGAGTAATAAATTATTGCATTATATCAATGCGAAGTGTGCAGGTGTTTGTACTCGTATCAGAAAAAAAGAAATTTAATCGGATTTCTCCGTTGGGTCATGTATCCTTCAAGAGTCTCTTCCTTTATCAGATATTATCGTAATCTCTCATTCTGTGTCAACATCTCCATGTGTCAGCAATAGCATGATTTTCAACGAGTTCATTCCGAATTTTTTTCTGATATGGATACACCGTACAGTGGCGTAATCGACATTCGGGAGATCCTTTCGATATTCTTCTCTTTCAGAATTTTGTCTTTCCATAATTTTTCTCTTTACCTCTCTCGTTCTTTTTTATCTCTGCTCTTTCTCTATTATCTTTCTCTATTATCAGGCTGCGAAATCGCGTTGATTGCACCACTGGCATGGTACATATAGTGTAAACTACGTATTATATATATGTAAGTATAATCTCCAGATTTCTCACACATTCCGTAGCGGTTTGCTCATTTTCCATCTTAGCTCGCGTATCGTAATCTCTTTCTCCGCGTTTCTCCCGAGTATGACGATCTCTCGTCAGTGCCGATCATCGCGTAATTAGTATCGCGTAACGAAGAGGTGCGACGAGAAATCTCGAGCTCCAATGTGTTCGACGATGTATCTCGTCGTTGTGCTTTCTTGTCTGATTTGTATCGACGTGATGAGATTACCGTACTTGTACTCTTTGCGCACGAATGACAGCTCTCGAGGACTAACGAGAATTATACAAGGCTTCTCGCGATTACGTTAACATCACATGTTGTAGATTTTAGTTATCTCGCGTCTATACATAGAAATACGGATACACGTATCCGAGAATATATGAAGAAGAAAAAGATACGTGTGGCTACGCTCGCACTGACTCACGTTTGTAAGTAAACGTCGCGCGAGTAAAAAAAGCTCGGTCAAGATATCCGACTGAAAGCAGCTACAATATCGTTACTTTCATTAGAAATTTATCCAATTGTTCCCACTAACTCTTTTGTATTATAGATGAACATATCTTTGTATGAGAGATGTAATCGAATCCCGAGATCCATAGTGATAAATTTAGCGGGACGACAAAAGGGCAAAGCGAATTTTTCAAATATTCTATCGTGTGTCTCTTGTCATTATCATTATCGTTCTTTCGTATAAATTCATTCTTTCAAGCGAACGTTCGGCTTCTCTAATTCTAAAGATCGCATAAGCGATCTTTGTGTTAAATGT